TTTGCTTCAAGGGCACTCCCACGCTAATGTAATTCAACCAAAATCTATTAGATGGCCCCTTTCTTCAAAATTCTGGGGATACAAAGTCGAATAAAATGTCTACCCCAAAAAGTTTATAACCTTTTTTTTTTACTTTTTGATGAAAGAAATTGAAACAGATTTTTAAACAAGTAACAAGAACACCAGGCAGGAAAAAGAAATAAAAGCTAAATGGAGGTCCAAAGTACCATACAGCATATTTCAGGAATGTGCCAATAAAGAAGTGAACCCCATTTTTATGAATACCTTACAGAAGCACTTCAGTCAAGCTTAGTGTTTTAAAACTGGAAGCGCCCATGGGAATTATGTAATCCAAAATCCTTCTTCTATGTGTTTAATGAGGAAACTGATGGCCAAAGAGAAGAAGTGATTCAGTCGTGGTCACACTGTAATTAGTACAAGGACACAGATCCAGTTCTCTCTCAATACTCCTCCTCTTGACTTTAACATTAAGACACATTTAAAATTGGCAGGGAAATCCTTTAAAAGACCATGGCATAATTTCATAAGATAATGAACAGTGACCCAAGACTAGGGAATTACTATGTGATATAAATGAGAGGTGGGATGAAGCTTGCAGCAATTACAAGCAATTCTCTTTGGCTGGAGTGGCTAGGGCAGGACTCCCAGAAAGATCGTTCAAAATCAACCTATAGATTAAGCAAATGGCATCTGCCACAACTTTTCTCTCTCCCTATGGGTTGTAGACATCTCTGTGGAGAAAGAGGCATGTCCAGAAGCTTATAGATGACCACAGTGTCACCTTCATCCTCTTGGTGACCATAGAGTCATTAAAAATGGTCCCCATTCAGATCCACCACTTAAATGTCACCATCAGCAATTTGTGACCCACTGGAAAAGAATGAGGGCTCTATGGTCTGAAGCAGGGTGTTACAAGTATTCAAACAGTTATATTAAGTTGAAATTATTGTATATATTAATTATAGTGTTGTCTGTGTTGGGCACTATAGAGAACAGACCCTCTCCAGCCTGGTAGTGAGCAAAGTAAGATTGTTTTCTGAATTAAACTAGGTAATCAACACATGATGGATTGGAGCCATGTTGAACTTGATAATCAACACACAAGATCAATTAAAAGAGGCTGAAAGATCCCCAAACCTCAAGGACTCTTCCATACCCTAAAATAATGAGCAGATGTGAAGGAGGAATATGTCAATTCGAAGGGAAGCTGGTCAATCACAAAAACACAGAAAAAAGAAATAATCAAAGAGGTGTGTATGGGCAGTGTCCATCCCATAACCATTTTAAATAAGGGTGCCTTGGTCCAAAGACCCACTTGTATCAATCATGCCTTTTTATTTTCTGGATTTTCTGGTGTTTTCACATCTGGGGCCTTGCTGACGCTGAAGAGACTGCCCCTGCCAGGGCTAGCTAATTTCTAGAGAGAAAACAACTTAAAGCGACTCACTTTCAAATACAGACCAACTGATCAAAGCCCATACTCCCAGCTCCCTCGTTTATGTAGCTTTCACACTCTGGACCGCTATCCACTTCCCCTAATCACCCCAGTGCCAGGTATCAGGCAACCAGCAACAGGCCCTAAACCCCAGAGCCTGCTGAAATGATTCAAACTAGCCAATCTTAAGCCTGCTTATCCTGCCTCTCCCATTCCTTCCCTTGAAAACCACAATAAAGGTTCTTGACCGTGTTTTTCCCTCACTCCCTCTGCCTCCCAATCAACCCTGGTGCTCCCTGTGTGGCCCCCCTGCATTGTATGCTGTGCCTTCTGTTTCCAGAGATCTGAGAATATAAAAATTTTCTCTTTCATGACAGTCATTTCCATGTCTGTGTGTCTTGCCATACCTGATTAAAACAAATCCTAGATATATTTTGAAACTACCACCCTGGTGCTAGTGGCAGCAAGCTAGCAAATCTCTATTAACCTGAAGTCTTTGAACAATCTAAATACACAACTGTCTCCTACTGTTTCCTGTGCATTCTTATCCGTTTCTCTAATTCAGCATCTCAGGTGGCATGTCTATGGGAACAGAAGACTCTGGATCAATCTCTATCATATTTCTCAGTAACCATTTAATAAATGAGATTTCTAGGTTTCTACATTGATCTTGTGAGCTTAGTTAATATGAGCCCATTCCTGAAAGATTTGTCCTTTATCAGACTGCTATCAGTGTTGTGAGCCCATATGGTGAGGATCGTGGTCTAGAGCCTTGCTTCTCAAACTGTGGTCCTGAAACCAGCAGCATCAGCATCACCAGGTAGCCTGTTAGAAGGGCGGTATCAAATTCTCATGCCCCACTCTAGACCTACAGAATCAGATCTGTATTTTAACCAGATCCCAAATTTGTATGCAAATTAAAATTTGAGAAATGTTACTCTGGAGGAGGGACAAGCAAACTTTTTCAGGACAGGACTAAATAGTAAATATTTTAGGTTTTGTTGGATAAGGTCTTTGTTGCAAGTACTAAACTCTGCCATTTTAGCCCGAAAGTAGCCATAGGCAATATGGAAACAAACAAGCACAGCTATGTTCCAAAAGAACTTTAAATATGGACAGTAAAATTTGAATTTCATATAATTTTCACATCACAAAACATTTTGAAAGTTTTTTTCAACCACTTAAAAATGTAAAAACCTTCACTTGTAAAAAATCTTAGCTTGCAAGGCCTTACCAAAATAAGTGGCAATGAAATCTATACAGAAATTGATATTTAATAACGTACACCTGAAATTACACAATGTTATAAGCCAAAATGACCTCAAAAAATAATTAAATAAAAATAAGTGGCAGGCCAGATTATCCTACTGGCCATAGTTTGCCTGCCTTTGTTCTAGACCATGGGAAATTCAATAAGATCAAGTTAATGAAGTGAGGCATTCCAGTTGACCCACCCCAAAATCCCATGTGCCAAGTGAAACTTTTCCTCGTTAAATATCCAGAGATGGGTTACATTTTTGTTTTGAGCAAACTTGATGAAATATAATTCAGTTTTTTTAATAATTAAAAGTTTAAATTAAGACTTTATGGGAGCACAGGAATTCTAGAACATAGATATAGAAGTAAACAGAGAGTAGATACCTCCCTGATGGAAGCGTACCATAATCCGGAATATCAGTGCTTTAGTCAAACAGGGAATTTCCAGTTGATTTCACGTGGTTGCTTGCCTAGGTTGTCTGCCCATGAGAAGCAGTGAGGAAGTGATAGACCAACGAACCCTCCTACAACAAGAACGGTCACATGCACTCACATGCGACGAGAAGGATCAGAGCTCATATAGCAAAGTGCAGACGGAAGCAGGTGTAGAGGATGTTACCTGCTTTTTAACCCATGTTTATATGTACCAAATGGCAGGAACATTCTCGTCTCTTGATTTTCTGTCATGATTTGTGCAGCAGGAAACCCACTAGGAAGCGGGCCACAATCACCAGTCAGCCCTGCCACCATCTAGCTCATCTGTCATCACAGAAATGGTCTGGACACCTCCAGTGAGTTTATTTTTCCAAGGAGATAAGGCAATTGACCCTACAATTCAAATTAGTGATATGAAGTGAGTTGGTGAATTCGGCATATTTCTTACTGTTTGAATTATTAGATATTTTTCTCTGATTGAATTAACTAAGAAAAAAGTTTTCAATCATGATTCTTTAAGTAGCAACTTCAGGGAACTCTAAAGGCCCCATATGTGATGTGTACATTTCACAATAATAGTTGTATAATCTGAAGGAAGTTTTACTTTTTACATTAAATCTTATTACATAAATTTCTAATTTTATGTATGATCCCCAGTTCTAAAACTTGGATATACGTCAGAATCACCTGGGGAAATTTTTAAACATGCCAATGCCCAATGGGCTCGCCAACAGCAATAGAACCAGAATACCTGGTGATGGGTCCTGACAGCTCTGTTTTAGAGGTATTCCAATGTGTGGCAGTTGAGAACCACTGCTTTGGCAATTATCAAACAAGAATGACATACTTTATTGTTAGACATTGCTATTTTTTTCTGAAAGTTTTGTAGGACACTTTAAGTTTAAAAATGAATTAGAAACACTATTAAAAGAAAAAAATCATTATGATTCTTCATGAAAACTACTTCCAGAATGTTCTTAGAATCAGTATAGATACAACTGAAGCTGTAAGTCTCTTTTATTTTTTTTCTAGATAAGTTGGCTTTAGATATTGATTAAATATGATGCAACAGGCACGTGTTCCCTAATGTTCTAGAAATATGGCAGTTTTGTCACTTCTCAGCACTGTTTCAAAAACTGGGATTGCACTATACTGCCTCTGTCTGTACTTTCATCACTTTCATTCTCTGTTCGATGGTTAATATCAAAGTAGATATATACTATGTTATCAAAATGGACTGGCTTTGATGTTATTTTTGTCGTTCCTGCTTGGTTTTTCACTATCTCGATTCCAGCAGAGTATGGGACTGTGCTAAGCATTACTCAGATCTGTCTCTACCGTCACCCTCGGATTTTCTGAAGACATTCTTATGGAGATTTGGGAGGAACCAGGCTGCCCTCTTCTAGCCTCTGCCCCACCCTATCCATTCCAACTTTTGTGCCTCTGAGAAATATCTGAATAAATCAGAGCAGTGCCGTGGGATATCTACTACCCAGGGACTACTCTTCTCAGCTTTCACTCAGGGATAAGTGAGCATAAAGTTGGCTGTTTTTGTTTTTTAATTTTTGTTATTATTTTGGATGTGTGGAGGAAAAATCATAATTAGTTGTTTTTAAAACATTTCTTCATGTGAAACAGAAACTGAAGGTAATTTGACTATTCAAATTTCAAACTGTCGTGTTAATAATAATTAAATTGTTAATTATTGAGCACTTTCCATGCTAGGCACTGTGCTAGGATGATTTACATCCATTACCTCATGTAATACTCACAGTCACACCATAACATAGGTTGGAAATGCCCTCATTTTATAGTTAAGAAACTGAAAAATCAAACAGATTAAGTAACTTACCTGAACTCAAACAGCTAGTTAGCAGGACCAAAGCTTGAAAGCAGGTCTTTAGGATTCGCAAACCCACAGTCCTAACCATTCTCTACACAATCCAAAACTACCACAGTGAAGTCAAATGGCTTCCTTTACTGTGACCTAAAAAAAAGAGACAGACTTGGTTCCTTCCGTCATTCCACTGTGCTCGCCTATGCATGAAACTTGATTCCTGGTTAATAATCAGTCAGCTCAAACAGGTTCATCACCTCCTGACCAGTCTGTCTGTAACTGGCCAATTCAGTAGAAGCAAGCGAGCTGGCAGCAGTTTTGAATAGCTGCCTCAGGAAGATGGTCCCTTCAGTTCGGGATTGAGACACAGGCTTAGGAGGAGCCACACTGCCAATGTTTTCAGGGAAAACATCCAACTCTGAGGAAAAAAATCAATTAAAAAAATTATTAAAGTACGCGAACATCACAAACCCTAAATTCGTCTGTGTTTTTTTAGTCTGAACATCCCTTAATAGTTATTGTACATGCATGTAAATGGATATAATGAATATATGCATGTATGCATGGTATGTATATGTACACACACACGCGTACAAAGATTACTTGCAGGTGAGCATAAATTAAACAAAGTGTGAATCCTGTTATTTTTCATCTCTTCTTCCACACCTGGTAGATTTAAACCCCTACAGGTCATCTTGTCAAAATACAACTTTCGTTCTGAAATAAAATAACAGAACAGAAACAAACACAATCTATTATAACTCACTGCCAATGTTGCCAGATAACTACAAAAAAAAGAGTGTCTCAGACAGAAATATCAATAACTTTAATGCGAGCGATTTGTTAACAGGGAGGCAAACAAGCAAACTTGCTCTCCGCTGACTGTCACTAATATTTATTCGTCCAGTGACTGTTAATCAAACCAAGTTTACAGTCCCGTACAGCACCTGTCACAGGTGCTGATCATTAATCAGCTATTACAGCAGTTTATTCTGCTGCTGACAACTCGCAATTTTCCACTGATTCAGCTAGTTTGTCAGGTGGGAATTATGGCATAGCGCATGTGACAAAACACATCACCCTTTTTTTTTTTTTTTTTTTTTTGCATTTTCAGGCTTCTCTCTCCTGCTTTCTCCCCCTTTTTAGACAAACAATATCTGGGAACTCAGAAGTAATAAGGCGGAATGCATAATTAATTACCCAGCTTGCTCTAATTAGGGATGAATAAGTTGTGTCCCTCTCATCATCACAAATGTGGTGATGGGTAATACCAGTTTATGCTGTATTAACTGCAAATATGCAATCCTTCTGAGAGCACTTTTGTTGATGAATTTGATGAATGTGACAATAATTAGCAGAGACAGATGAGAGCTAAATTACTACTGACAATGTAATGCTATCCTGCTCGAGGGCCTGGGAACGTGGCAGGATAACATGGCAGGGACCTGGGCCTCATTTCTAATTAATAGTCTTTTTTTTTCCCCTTTTCCTTTTTTTTTTTTTTTTTTTTTTTTGCCAGTGGGGGAAAAAAGGAGTAACGGTAATTGTTTTCGTCAAAGGCTGCAGGGAGTTATCAGGGTAATAAAGTTAATTAGCAGAACAAACATCCTTTCACTGCCTTACCAGTCTGAGGAAAAGAGGGTAATTCAAACTGCAGAAAGATATAACTAGATGGGATGATAAGAAAAGAAATTTTACACAAGAGGCAAACGGAGAAGAATGGTTTTCTCCCTTCATTTCCTTGGCTTGATGCATGGAAAGAAACTAGACAGCTTCTTCTTTCAGGTTTCAAAGTGTCTCATGTAAAGAACTTTGTTGTTATGATTTTGAGTTTGGGAAATAAAGTTAGCTTAGATCAAATTCCACTGTTTACTTCATTCTTTTCCAGGTAGTAATAGGTTTGTTCAATTTTATCTTTATTCACGTGGCATTTTCATCATGTCTCAGGCATAGAAGTTCGAATATCTGCCAAAGAGACCATTTAGCTGCATTTTGTCTTACAGAAGTCTGTGTCATTCTCTGAATCTTTTGGAAAAAGTTAAAGAAATTAAGTGATTTCCACCAAGTATTATTTGTTTATTCTCCTGGGTAAATTAAAACATTAGAGTGAAATTTAAAAAATGTACATGCTAGGGGCCAGCCTGGTGGTGTAGTGGTCAAGTTCACACACTCTGCTTAGGTGGCCCAGAGTTCACAGGTTCGGATCCCTGGCATGGACCTACACACTGCTCATCAAGCCATGCTGTGGTGGCGTCCCACATACAAAACAGAGGAAGACTGGCACAGATGTTAGCTCAGCAACAATCTTCCTCAAGCAAAAAGAGGAAGATTGGCAACAGATGTTAGCTCAGGGCCAATCTTCCTCATCAAAAATTAAAAAATGATTGTGCTATTTTATTCTATTTTTGTAGCCTCAAAAAGTCATCTTTCTTAAAATGTGGCAGCATTGATTTTCATTTCCATTGCAGCTTTTTATATATGTAAGTAACCAAAGAAAAAAGTGAACAGTTTAATGAATCTCAGTTTTACATTATGGTTTTAATCAATTCAGTGACTTTGTTTGACATAAGTAGATACAACATAAAGGGAAAACATCCACCAAACATTCTGAAGCTTTTGCAAGTTCATTTTCTCCCTTTAAATATTATGTGTTTGGCCTCCTTTAAACATCAAACACTTGAAACAATTGTTTAATATTAAATAAAGAACACGAGGATGGAACCTGATGCCTTCTAAAATAATAGCCATCAGAAAGTGTCTATGGATTTTTATTCCTTTTAGGTACATTTCAAAAAATTTTCATTTTATGCTTTTTAAAAGTCATTAGATATCTCATAAGTTTTACATATTTGTCATGCATGTAAGTGTGCACACATTTGTTTGTTGTCAGAGCTAAATAAAATAGCCTCCCACGATGACTCTGTGTTTGATTCTAAGTTAAGGACATAAACAGTAACTGGTGAGCTTGCTTCTGTGTCTGGCAGCATGGCACTAGGGTGATTTCTGGCATAGAATCCTATATGGGTAGACTTCCGCCAAACATGGGGGAAATATCTACCCGTCTGGCCTTAACTCCTAATATCTGCATTATTAAAGTGCTATGCTTGTCCCCAAAGACAAAGGCAGTGTGAGAGTAGAGAACATGATATTAAACTAAGAATGAGAAAACCTGAGTTCTTTTCTGGCTCTGTTACTAACACCCATATGATAGTGAGCATTTCTCTGTCTGCCTCTGATTCTCAATTTGCTCGTCTATGAAATTGAGTACCTTCCCCTCTAACCTTATAATGTTGCTGTTGACACAAAAGGAATCATTTTAGTACTTTGGAAACCATGAGATGTTTTGTAAGTATACTGTTAATATTATTAGAGTATAGAAAAAATCATGAGAAATAATCTTGAAAAAGTCCATTTCCTTTTAATTGCCCTCCCATGTATGGCTAGTCAGAAACCAGAGCTAAAAGACTTGACAGGAAGTTTTTATGATATGAGGGACTGAAATCTATCCTTACTTTATGATTTTGCTGCTAAATTTATCAGGGAAACTATCATTGTAAAGATAACCCCAAACTCCTTTGGTCAAACCTACCTACCTTTTCAAGATTTTCTTAATCTCTTGTTAGAAGAGCATATTAAGGTCAAGACTAGAAGAAAACTAGACTAATCATGAATCAATATAACAAGATCTGTTAGGCTTGTCAAGCGAACTTCCATTTGAAAACATCCAAGTTTCTCACAGACGAGCAGGCAGACACACACACACACACACACACACACATGCACACCCCAAATTTAGGTTGCTATGCTTTGCCTTCTATCTTTAGGAGTATTTTAAAGTTTTTACCGTATAATCAAACTTTATCTTTATGTAGGAAAACTCTAGAAGTAAAAGAAGCGTTGGGTACTACTTTCAACAATTTGTAACTGTTCCTATTTAACTACTATGTGAGGTAATTTAAAATAAATCACTTACAGAGACAGAGAGAGAAAGATTGAGAAACTCTGAAAGAAGTAACACAAAAATCCAAATGCAAAATTGTTTTTTTCTACAAATGAGTTGGAATTTTTATTGTGAGAGAAGAAGTAACAGGGAGCATATTTGTTTGTTTCCTCTGGGACCTATGCTGAATTTATTGAATATTCTGGTCTTTTGCCCTCTAGCCACCACCTCCTTCATTGGACCACAAGGAAGGCCGTTTTGGAAAAGTAATGGAATCCAGTCAACTTAACATTGTTGATCTCCAAGGACCGTTGAAAATTATAAAACTTTCTGTGGAACTCTGACATGCCAGAAGCTGCTAGAAAAAGCAGTTTGATATTCAGAACCTCATCAAGAGCTTCTCCTCATCTTTGGATAGAGACCAAAATGATACTTTCAAGTAAGTAGGAATTTCTAATATTAGCGTATTGGGTGGAAAAACACCTTAGTGAAAAAATTTACTGGAGTTAAAGATTCATTAATCAGATACTCCAGGCACTGGCTGCATGTACTGTTGGTATTATTTTGAATATTCAGGAAATTTAATTCTTTCTTTTTGTTTTTACTCAATTCCTTGGCCATTGTTTTAGAGAGTCTTTTGACAAATTCTCAGTTCTTGAGGGCTCTGGGACATTTTTGTTTCCTTATATGAGTGCAGAGGAGTGTTAGGTGGTTAAATAATTACAAAGGACTAAAAATAAACCATAGTTTATTTTTTCAGATTTTGAATTACAAAATTATTTAAATGTTGTCTGTAATCGAAGTGCTACATTACTATGTAATGAAATTACAGTACTGCTTAATGACATCGGGAAACTGCATGCAAAAAAATATTTGTACACAAGGTGGTGATGTTAGCAACCAACTACAGTACTTTTATTCTGCTAAAAACCACAATAAATAACAACAGATTATTTTCCCTGAGTGATTGCTAAAAAGTCTGTTCAGGTGTTCATATAATGATAGCACGTAGGAGCACAGAGCACATAGAAAACTTGTCATCACACGTCATTAAAGTAGCAGGGAAGGAAGAGAAGGAGGACAAAGCACAAAAAGGAGAGTTAATAACTTCTGAAGAAAAAAATTGTATTTACATGTAGTAACAGTTCAAGAACCCAGCTTTTAATATCTAAGTTTCTATTGACACTTATTTGGATATTTAAGTCCAAAGAATTAAATCCTAAATGTAAAATTGTTTCTGTAGCTCTAACAAAATATTCCCACTTCCCAGAAAGATTTCTTCAGAAAGCCTTCGCTTTACAACACTCCTCAGCCTTTACAAACAGCTTTCCTGATCCCAATCCTGACTAGTGTTGATCCATCGAGGGCCACGTCTTCTCCTCTATTCATGTTTCTTGTAGAGAAATTTACATTTTTAGATTTGTATTAGCATAACTTCGAACAATTAAAAAGCGAAGCTGGTAATGAGTGACAAACCTTATTTCTCATGGAATATTGGACTTCTTAGCCTTATCAATACTAAAATATAAATTAACTAATATATGCCAACACTTAAACCAGTTCATATTTTTTGTGCATTGGTATGTTAATAAAGACCTCTAAGACATAATTAATCATATTAATATTCAGCCCGCAAAATTCAATTATTTGTTACAGTGAAATACATTTATTCTCAGATTTTTTTTTTAAAAAAAGCAAATGATGGCATCAGCAGGAATACAGAAGTTGTTGGTTACAGGGCGGAAAGCTTGTGTGCCATGAGTCAAAAAGGTAGGCAGATGGATTTTCAATTTTAAGATCCTCCTCCCCAGATGAAAAGAGCAGCAATTGTTATTTGTAAGCTAGAAAGCAAAATATCTGTTCTTGAATTATCTAAGGATGAGTCAGAAACTTAAACCCAAAGAAAAGTAATAAATAATGACAACAGATGTTTGTAAACCTGTGCTCCCCTGTTCGGTGTTTCTACGTGTTGTTTTGCCTTGATGTGCTGTCAGCCGCCTCTCACCTGGGAGTAGTGATATCTTATCAAAGCCCAAACAGTTCCTCTTCACAACAGACAGATAATAGCGCCTTTCAATTTATCATACTGGAAGTCTAAAAGAACCATGGGAACGATTGGTCAGGTGACAGTTTGATGGACAGTTTGACAGCCCTTAAAGCATCATGGGAAATGGTTGTCACCTGATTTTCAGAGCGACCAGGGAGATAACCTTCAGAATGATGAGGAAAACAAAAATCTGAATATTTGTATAAAATCCAGTGGCAGCATCAGTGTTCACTTAAGTGATAATAGGTATGAATTTAGATGACTCAAAATGTGATTATCAAACCTGAGAGGTTTCTTCAAGTCCAGAAGTGCCCTTCATCCCTTTAGATGCCTTTTACATTTTTATTCAAATGTCATTTGCAAAACATATACATGATATAGGACCTTTGATTTTAAAGAGACAATAAAATGTATTAAGTATTTAACCACATGCTAAATATATTAACTGACCATTAATATTCTCCAGCTTTGAAATCTGCTCTCCTTGTACACCTTTTCCTAAATATAGTTTGTACATTACAGTTCATATGGATACGATTTTACTCTCGGGCTAACTCGGCCTCGTGAAGACCAGTATAGCTTTGGTGTGAGAAACAAAATAAGAGAAATCGGTTTGAAGATCTTTGGCACAAACATGTTTGAATCCGTATTCACTTATACAGCCAACAAACATGAATTGAGCACTTAATACACACGAAGGTCTCTGCTGGATACATAAAGATGAGAAAGATAAAACTCCAGCTTACAACTTTCTTACAATTTGAGAGTGAGGATACAGTTTTAAATTAATAGTAGATGGCAAAAGAGATCAAGAGATCAGTCCAAATCCATTGCTTTCTAGTTGGTGAGGCTTGCACACGATCGTTGACAAAGCTGTCTCTCGCAAGTTCTCTCTTGTGTATTCTGTATGCAGTTTACAATAGCTTCATGGTCTGATCTAAAGAGATGCTGGCTGAAAATTGGGATTCCAAAGGAAAAACTAAGCACTCAAAGGTTATACATTTATTGAGCGCCTCCCAAGTTTAAAGAATGATTCCAGAAACAATAGGGAAGTAAAAGAGACTTGAGATGCGATTCCCGTAACTGAGAAGGACTCCAGAAATCGCAAACCCTCAGTCTCTTAGATAGTTCAGCTGCTTTTTTTTTTTTCAGAGCATACACTCAGTAACTTTTTATTTTAAAATAACATCTAACATACAGAAAAGTTACAAGAATAGTACAAAGAACTACTTCATAGTCATCATCTAAAATTCACCAATTGTTAACATTTTGCCACATTTGTTTTTATTACCGTTTTCTCTCTCTCTTTCACACATTCTCCCTTCCTTCTTCTCTCATTCATCTATTATGTAATATTATATTTTTGAATAATTTTAATAGAGGGAAATGAGATTATATTTGTGTCTGATTCGTTTTTATACTCCTTCATAAAACCTAGCAACTGCCTTGTATGTATTTAATAAATATATATATGAATGAATGATACATAATATTCAACCAAAACTTGTCTTTGATCTTCTAGACTTGTGTTTATAATAATAAATATAAAAGGTACTATATTATTTGTCTAAAACATATGAAATATTTTACAAACTATGAATCTTCCCCCAACTGTCTGATCAATAAATGATTTAACAAAATAAAGAAATAATACAATAAAATAAAGAAATTGCAACAGAAATGTCAAGTGACTTCAAAGGAAGTAAAAGATAAAAGCTTCAGGTGCTGCTGGCTCTTTGTCTTTCTCTGGGACAAATAGACAAAGTATAGATGCTGGACAAAAATCAGGGGTTTAAACAGAAACTGTCTTTCTAAAAAACACTCTGGCACCATTGTTGAAACTGGTACCATTTGGCTGCTTGACACTTTTAGGATAACACTCTGCTTTCACAAATTTTGATTCTTTGGATTCACATTCCGACATGATTTTCCATATCCAGTTGTGCCAACACCAGGCAAGCCAGACAAATTGTAAGAGCACCCTTAGTGTTTTCCAGGAAACTGAAAAAAGCCAGTAAATAATTTAAATAACGATTAACAACAAAATGTTGTCCGTGTAATTCTTCACAAGAAGACACATTATTTGAGAAAAAAAAAAAGAAAGAAACCAAAGTTTGCAAGTGCAAAGCAAAGTACTTTTGAGTGCCATACGCAAATTCAAATACTTAGAGACTGATAAAAATACATTTTGCTTATTTCAAATTGGAAGGGCAAGATGTGGGAGGAAGATTTATAATAACTAAAAATGGACAAGGTCCAAATGCTACAAAACAACTGAATTCAGAATTATTTCTGAATCAGAGCTGTGGTTGAAATGCTTTTCCTTTCCTTGTTGAAATAAACCCATGCAGGATCAGGTCATAACACGTCCCAGATGTAGTTCCTAGCTCACCTGATATGAATTAAGATTTATTGTTAACAACTAACGTAGTCATTGAAGCCAACTAAATAAGCTAAATTTAAAGCCAGAACCAAAGTCTTATTATTTCATAGTTACGCCAAAATTTGTGGTCTAGAAACTTAGAATAAATGCTAGTGTTGAATTTTCAGTCCGACTAAATTTTTACCAAAAGAAATTTTCAGACTAAAAGTTTCACGGAAGGAAAAAAAATGATTTATTAGTTGTCATAAAACCATTTTTAAAATATGACATACACTTTCACATTATAAATTTCAAGATATAGATTCAGCGTGACTGTTAAGCATTTTGAAGGGCGCAGAAGTCTTAAATTACTGGCTAATGTAGGTTAAATGAATCATGGACTTTTTAAACACTATGCTTACTTAGAGTATATAAAATTGGTCATCTTCCAGCTCAAAACATGTAAGTAGCGCTGGATGGACTCTTGTGCTGAGATGCAACAGGGCCTCTGTGTGAGACACAGGAGAATCTTGAGTCTCATGACTCAAATTAGAGTATTAAAGTTATTTCTCTTAGCTCCTTCTTCCTTCAAGGTATGTACAGCACACAGAGTGTGTGAAATTCTGGATTCATTTTCCCTTATTTTTCTGACTCTGTCTTTCCAAATTTGGTGTACGTGGTATCCAAAATACAAAAAGCTTTCCTTTAGATGCCTTATTTTATATATACATTTTTGTTATTTAATTATTTATTTTGAATGATAAAAACATGTAGCTTGCATGGGTAGAAAATAGGTTGAAAGTTTTAAAATATTCTGAGCTCATCATATTTATTCTGTACTTTTTCCAGGAAACTGGAGCCTTATCAGAAAAGTGAATCAAGGCGTGTTTGATTTTTTTTTAATGTTTTTGGAAAGCTGTCTAATTTTCTTAATGCTAGAAAGTAACCACTGAAGAATCGTACCTAAAGTTACCTTGTTATGACTTTTACAACTTCATTACAGCTAAAAAGATTTGACTTTTGTTTCTTTTTTTCAATAAAAATGTAAAAATGCAGAAAAAGAGTGAAATATAGTAGCATATCTCACTAATACTATTTTAAACATTTGCTATTATGTTATTTATGCTGCATATTTACAAGACTATGTTTTGAATGTAGAAAGAGAATTGATTCTAGCTTTCTATCCAACTACTCATAGTTCTGATTTATGGTTATTCAGAGATTTATGGTAAACTTTCTGAACCTCGCATCTGCTGAATAATCCTAGGGTTATAAAAGTGGCACCTTATATGGTTCAACTTTCACTCCTACCTAATTCATTCTCCTACATTCTTCTTTTGACAGATGTAAAAGAAAATACATGAAGTTAGATTTAAACTAATTCTTAGAATCCAAGTGGTGTTAGAACCTACATTAATACATTCATTTTTCTAGACTATAACTATATGAAATGAAGAAAGCCCAAAGTGTAAAGTGAAATTATTGCTCAATGAAGTGATTATTTTATCCACATTGTATCAAATTGACAGTTTGACTTTTTCCACTGAGTATGCTTAACGGGCAGTTGGGTTGGAATTTTGTAGGTGCAGCCATAGCGTTTTAACAATCAAGCAGCAGTGCTTCCCATTATTCAGTCTGTATGGCACTTCAAACCCACCATTTTCTCTCTAGCTTTATAGTTAATAGAGGACAAACAAACATCATGACTTTCCACCCTTGTAGTTAATATTCCTTATCTGTTATATTTGAAATTCGCTCTCTCCTCTCCTCTCAGTCAAAAAAAGCTTCATTCTTTGTTTCTCTTCCCTCACCTTCTTAGGAAAGTTACTTAGAGATCTCTGAGACTCAGTTTCCTCACCTATAAAGTGGAAACAATTATACATACTTCTTAGATTCATCATGAAGATTAAAGATTACTACGCAGACCTGCATATTACCTCCAGTAACACAGTCTCCTCCCAATTCAGGCTAATTCCCTTCCCTTTCATTAGTGGAATCCCATTGATTGAATTGTGTCAGAAGACAGGTTATTCAATGTCTTAAATTAACCTCTTTCCTTCAGTTACAATGAAGCATAAACCCATGTGTCAGCAGATACTAATCTTCCTGCTGGGTTAACTCATTAAAAAGAACTCATCAGGGCTGGCCCTGTGGCCTAGTGGTTAAGTTTGGCACACTCCACTTTCAAGGCCCGGGTTCGCAGGTTCAGATCCTGGGCACAGACCTACACCACTTGTCAGCCATGCTGTGGCAGCGAACCATGCATAAAATAGAGGAAGATTGGCACAGATGTTAGCTCAGGGTTAATCTTCCTCAGCAAAAAAAGAAAAGGACTCATCACAAAAATATTTCTAAATCGTAAGACTGAACATTGCCAATGTTCAGAAAACACAATCTTTTCCAAAGACAGGAAAAAAGATTCTTTGCCTACCTTTCTGAAAGCCACTACGTATTTCCCCTTAAGCATTTTCCCTTAAATTTTTTTTTCTACAATTCCATGAAGCAATAGTAAAAGAATATTTGGATTATGTCGTCCAGTATATTTATATAGATATCTGAAAACTTCAAGATATACGAGGTATTATTCACATTCCGTTACTATAAAATCAAGGAGGAAACTATCCTCAAGGCAACACAACAAATACTTATTCAGTGACAGGCATTGTATTCAAGTACTCAACATGGGCTATCTCATTTAATCCTCACAACACTATTGAGGTAGGTATTATTATTATTATTATCATCATCATCGTCATTATTATTTCATTTTACAGATGAGAAACTTGTTCATGGAGAGAGTAAGCCTGGTCAAAGTTATATAGTCTGTTAGTGCTGGGGTGGAAATTCCAAATGATCTGCACAAAACTTATTGTGCTGATTTGGACATGAGCCTTAAAAGAATGGCATTCCTTTTTTCTTAAAAAAAAAAGAAAGAAAGAAAAAAGAAAAGAGCAATATAACCATTTCTTTACCTTTTAACTCTTAGGTGATAATAAAATCTAATTCTACATATTGAAAGCGTTCATTTAGACTAGTGGTTCTCAAATTTTATTGGCCTCAGAAACCCTTTGTATCCTTAAAAATTGTTGAAGATGCCAAAGACCTTTTGTTTATATAAATTATATCTATCGATATTTATCAGATTAGAAATTAAAACTGAGAAACTTTTAAAACATTTCATGATTTAGTTAAAAATAGCAATAACCCATTAGATGTGAATATAACTAATATATGTTTTGAAAAATAGCTACAGTTATTTCATGAAAAAGTGGCATTACTTTATATTTTTTCAAATTCTATAATATCTGGCTGAACAGAAGACAGCTGAATGCTGATGTCTGCTTCTACACTCAATCTGTTGTGATGTTTTTAAATTTTTATTTTTTTAATTGCGGTAACATTGGGTTATAACACTATATAGCTTTCAGTTGTACATCATAATATATTTCGAATTCTGTGTAGATTACATCATGTTCACCACCCAAAAACTCATTATAGTCCATCCCCTCACATGTGAGCCTAATCACCCCTTTTGCCCTCCCCACCCCTTCCCCTATCGTAACCACCAATCCAATCTCCATTGCTATGTGTTTTTTCAAGCATATCAAGAAAATCTGGGGACCAGCCCAGTCATGCAGTGGTTAAGTTTGCACATTCTGCTTTGGTGGTCCAGGGTTCACCGGTTAGGGTCCCAGGTACAGACCTACACACTACTTGTCAAGCCATGCTGTGGTAGGCATCCCACATATAAAGTAGAGGAAGATGGGCACGGATGTCAGTTCAGAGCCAGTCTCCTCAGCAAAACAGGAGGACTGGCGGCAGATGTTAGCTCAGGGCTAATCTCCCTCAAAAGAAGGAAAAGAAAAAGAAAATCTGGCCTCTTACAAATGTGTAGTTGGAAAAGAGAGGGATATTTTAATAGACTTTTCAGATAATTATGGATATTATTTTTTGACAAGACACAAAAACTTGGCAAATGTGGTTTTTTAAAGGTTAGTTTCAATATGGAATTTGAAATACTATCAGTGAACTTTTGTACACTGTCGTATTAAAATCCACTGGTGTATTTGGCACCTTGGATGGGTCTTTCACCCCTGCATGGTTTTGAAATAACTTGTTAGTCTTTTGGAAAATATCTATTCACTTCAGATCTTCCAATGTTGACATATTTCATTATGCAATATTTAAAAATCAAATCATATTAATTAATATCATCACTGATCTCATCAGAAAGTCAGCTTGCAACTCAAACAATCACACTAGTGCTCTCCTTGAGACAACCATCCTACTTCAGTACACAGCAGAAGTGCTTTATGCGTATTTCCCATTTAGTTACACAGAATGTTAAAAAGACATGTCAAGGGACATGATTTAATAATCGATAACTTTTACTGTTTAATCAAGGAAATTCTCAAGTGAAACTGGATTTTTTTTTTTGTAGTGGAGTGTGCAGAAGTGAAGAATATAATGACTGCTGGCAGAGTTTAGTGCCACTGCCTTAAGTCACCAGCAGTTGACCCACCATTGTGTGTAATCAGTGCAAAATACCAACAGTAAAAAAAGCAAGTAATAGCTTAGTATTATCTTAAAAATATTTTTGACTTCATGGACCCCCTGAAAGGGTCTCAGCATCTCTAGGGGTTTTCAGACCACACTTTCAGA